CAGACATTTAATTAAGTTTACGAGTAAGAAGGAGAAGCAATTCTGACAAAACTGTAATATAAGCCTTCAGATACAGAGGTATAAGGCAATGTATGCAAGTGAAATTAACTATTTGGAGAAGAAGAAGGGACGTCACAAAAAGAATTTTCACGCCGTATATGAGAGTGTCGCAAACTCAATCCTTTTACTCGCTTATGCGCATGTTTACAACTCACTCTTTGTGAGAGATAAATGAATAAAAGTTATCTAAAACATTTCATAACGACGAGAAAAATGCCTCTAATATTAGTGCTGTTCTTTACATTTGACAAGTGAACATGTATATTTTACAAAAACATTTATTTCTTCTTTTTTTGAATTTAGATTTGGTTTTGTTTTAATTGTTTTCAAGTTTAACATATTCAGTCTGCTTCAGTTTTATTACAGAATAACTCTAACAGAGTCATTTTTGTGTGTATTCATTGTCCTTTTCATTCTATACTGACTCGTTGTTTTCTCTTTTCTGATTGCTATATCACATGGACAGTTACATCTATGCATCACATACTGATTTTTACCAACATGATGTATTGAGTTTTTCCAGTATGTTATCACATGTTCTATATTAGACTTTTCCTAATAATATATTCGTTTACGTCATACTTGGTATTCTTCAACATGCTTATAGTTTATCAAGCGGAAAGATAAAAGAGATGTTTTGATGATATCCACAAGATCGTCGCATTCAGTAATTGTGGTGGACACTGGAAAAAACAATATACAAAATGAGCCTATTATGAAGCAACACGTTGTACTAGATTATAACGACGGAAGACAAGGTAGTGATTTGTCAGATCAGTTATCAACATACTATACATGTCTCAGACAGTCTATAAAATGGTATAAAAACGTGGCATTTGAATTGGTATTTGGAATTACAGTAGTTAATAGTTATTTAATTTACAAGGAAACTTGTGTCGCAAGCGACATGATCATTCTGCAGTTTCATGTAGTCTTTATTCCTTGGTACACCATTTGAGAAGCTGAAACCTGATCCGAGACAACAATCAGCAAGTTGTTCGAAGCGCAAACTCGCTGATCACAAGCTTGAAGAAAAGGAAGGATTTACGCGCAATGTCTGAAGGTGCTGTGCTGGTGGCTATGAGAAAAGCAAGGAACAGCAATCAAAAGACGCGAGCATGCTGACAGCAAAGAAAATAAAAACCTTCTGTGCTGACTGCAACAATTTTTTTGTTTTGATTGTTTTAACGAGAAGTATCATGCTATGGAATAAAGAACTCAAAAAAAAATACTGAAGACAGAGCAGATGGCACATTATGTGTAACCTCCTGCCTAAGTAAAAGGCAACAGAAAGCGGTTTTCTATACAGTTTCTTCTTAAAATATAATGTGACCTACCGGTGGGACACATCGGGCTGAATGTGTTAATTTGTAACCGTTTGTATCAACGAAGTTTTGGGCTAGTAGTGGAACTTATCATGATTTTTCATTATTATTAATAATAGCCATAAAAATACATACCATATGGACAATCAGTGCTTCAATGTAGAGATTATTTAGCTCAGTTGGATTAATATTTACTCATAGACAAACACGTTTATCACCAAATCAAACTGATAACACATTAGTTTTTTGTTCATACGAAAAATTCAGGAAGCAATAAAAATCATACCTCATGTACAGACAAGTCTTTATTCTGACCAAGAATATAATGAAAAGATCGTCCTGCAAGATGTGTCCTATCACGACGAACTTTTTGATGCTTTGCTCTTCGTCCTACAAAACAGAATAACTGCGGAACAAAGCAAACTGTCTCGTGACATTCTCGCTTTCGATTTTTATTAGGAAAACTTACATGAAATTTAATGCGAACTTAAATATTTAATTAACCGATCTATTTATTCTTTTTCATAAGGTACAGAAAAATGAAACTATTTTGAATATGGTTAATATATGGTTGAAATCTTATCAAAGAAAAGTTCTTTGAAATAAGGCTACACTTTCTTCGTTAAATATTATACGAAATCATTTCGAATTTTGTATAAAAATTGTATTGATCTCCTCGTTGATTATCAATATTTTTTTTCGATTACTATTGCAATAAAATGAAAATCAACCTTGAAACAAAGTCTGACACTTGAGATTGAGAATGCATTATAAATTCTTTAGTTGTCCATCATCTGAATGTCTTCTGTTAATGATAATATTTCTGATAAACAGAATGGTTCTTTTTCTTTGTCTTTTTGTTTTTCGAAAGTTTTATTATTTCCATATGTCACCAAATAAAATCAATAAAGAACACATTAATATGTATTATCAATCATTGCCAATCAAGTAATAAATAAGAATTCTTAAGCCCTTCCCCTAAGAAAATCCATTTTTTCGAAAAACAATCGAAGTTGAGTTTTTACCATGCCAAGATGCGATGAAGTTCTCTCTTTCAGAGTATATATGAATTTTCAAAAAAAAAGGCTAAATTATAATAAACTTTTGGAGGAGATTTTCATCCTACCACCATGTTTTCAAGAGATTTTCGTGTTTTTTTTTTATTTTTGGGAAGATTACTTTTTTTTACTAGAATCAGCATTGAATAAACGTTTTTATATAATTTAAGCGCGACCCATGATGCTAGCTTACGCCATGTGTTGAGTGCTTTTAAAAATTCTACTTAAATATATTACGAATATGCCTTTTTTTCGGAATTTCAATGAAAAATCCATTTCTAAACTTATCATTTTTCTCGAAATATGGTTCTTGATCAGGGGAATGGAAATAACTCGCGCCCGGTTCAAGATAAAATCAAATTTTTTTTTTGTTTTAAAGATCTAAATGAGAGTAAAATTTTGTGTGGCCAGATTTTTTATAGTGGATTTCTATGCTGATCAAAGCGAGATTTAGTTTTGTAAAGTGACATTTTTCTGGCTTATTTTTACCTCATATGTAGTAAAACAATCATAAAAAATGGATGGAAGTGAATTTCGACGTTCTCTTCAAACTACTCCGAGCTCTGTACCTATTGTAGCAACGAAGTTATAACGATTCTCTTGAAGACCAAAAATGGACTATAAATAAGTTGAAAATCCGCTCTAGATGACATCTCGGGCTGAAATTTTCTCCAAAGGGATTTCTCACTAAAATCACTCATTTTTGGAAATTTCAGCCCAAATGGATCATTCTAAGTGATAAATCTATTGTGAGGAGGACCCTTAATATAATCATCATTTGCTATAAAATTCTAGAGTGAAAATTCAAATAAACGAGAGAGAAAAAAGATACTACTTTTATAATTGATGATAAAGCATGTTAAAATTTATCTAGTTCTTTCATAGATTGATTTCACATGTCGTTTTATGCTTATCCTTGAAATAGCTGTGGATGTGTATCTTCTTCTCACCCACGTCCACTCATCTCTAATCACAGCTTTATGATGAAGTTGTACAACTCAGATGGGTGTTCCAGCTTTTTAAACTTAACCCTCAAACTACGCTATTTCTTGAGAGAAAATAATGATTTTCGTCAAAAAACCATTTTTCAGAGAATTCTACTAATTGACAGGAAAGATGTAAATGGCTGAAATTTTCAGTGAAGATACATCTTTATAAACTCTAACGTCAATAAAAATTTTAGAAATCTATCTTATTCTAATTACGAGTTATGAAGCATCAAAGTTGCCTAAACTGTGAAAATTTTCTCCATTTTGAATGAGCAATAAAAACTTAGTAGCTCAATTTTTTCAGTTGAAAATTTTATCCTAAGTCGAACTCACAGAGATATATGCTCACAAAAAATTTCAGCTCAATCAGTCGAGCTATTCTTGAGATACGGTTTTGTCAAGACCTCCGTTGGTCGAGAGTGTGAGTGTGTACATGGGCTGTCGGCGTATGAATGCGGATGTCAAATAATCAACACTCATTGAAGCCCATACCCATACTCTATTATAACTCCGTTCTAGCTTGAGCGACTTTGGCAATGATGTTATCGCTGATCTGCATTATCCATGGACTACGCGCAGAAGAACTTTCAGATGTTTAGCTCTGGTAGGGGCTGAGGTTCGAGGAAAGAGGATATGCTTTTGGTCAGTGGTGTACATTAGTTGATATTTCAGCGATAACAGGAAGAAAGTCAGTTCCGATGATTAATTTTTTGTGGGAACGATCACTGTTACGAAAAAAAAAGATTTCTTGAATGAGAAATTATGATATTTTGACGAATTTCGAGCACACTGACTTCTTCAATGAAACGCATTTATTCGAAGATCAAGGTGTTCATTTATTTTTGACCTAAATCAAGTAACAGAAATGGTTTATCATCTCTCTTTTTGGCCTTCTATCTCTGAGAAATCATGGGCGATGGTTTGATCGAGAGCTGTGATGAAGCAGTCTATAAAAATCCAAAGAGAGACAACCTAAAAGCCTTCAACGAATCCCATTACCATTAGAAACAAACTTAAGAAAATTGAAAAACGATGTAAAACAATAAAATGTCATCAATATCATTGTGAAATTTTTGATTATCTATAATCCAAAGCAATTAACATGGCTTCAAACGAAATTTTGTTAAAAATAAATAACAAGCGAGAGACCTTCTATGACGAATAAAATCATGTTGTTCATGCTTTTCTCGATAAATACTAGCATTCCTTTCAGCTAAGTTTGATTCCAATCTCACGATAGTTCTCATTGATGTTTGATTATTAAGAACAAAGTTGCTTGATGAAAATATTTCTTTTTCTTTGTCTTGCGACTAAAGCAAAACCTTTTTGGTTTTTTTTTGCTATTTGCTTTTGATCTATTAATCTGAGAGATAAAATGTATTCATGACAAAGAAAAAGTCATATCAAGCCATGATATAAAAGTGTTCTGAGTACACCATCTTACACTTACTTACTGTCTTTCTTTCATAAAACATAGACACGTCATATTTTCTGTCACAGCTCGTAGTATAATGTATGTGATCACCCATGTAGGTATGATCAGTGTATTCTGCTTCTTTATCTTCATAATGGGTACACCTGCAGCAGCTGGACCTGAATCATCAACAGCCATACCTGTTGGCAAAAGACTCAAGACTATATGGAACGGTATCATTATAGCCGATAGTGATAAAGCAATTAAATTCGATAATCATATCTACTTTCCACCCGATTCGATCAACAGACAATATCTCGAAGATTCATCTACTCATACTAGATGTCCGTGGAAAGGTCTTGCCTCTTATATGACGATTGTTGTAGGTGATAATAGATTGGTGGATGCTGTCTGGTATTATCCAATGCCCAACGAGGCTGCCAAGGACATTAAAGATTATTTTGCATTTGTACCAGATGTACAGATTGTAGAAGATTAATAATAAATCAGAACTGCGTTATTTGCAAAAAAATACAAGAAAAAAGAAGCACGTACACATTGCAAAACAATCTGTTGTTGTTTGGTACTTCTTTAATACTCAAGATATAATGAATATTTTTTTAGTTCGAGAAATTTTCTAAAAATTTTGAGTACATCATATTGGTTATATAAAAAAAAAACTTCTAATATTATATTCAATTTCACCTGCGTTTCATAAATACTGTCAGCTATAAGTGCAAATTTGTTTTCTGTTTTTGAAGAAAACATCAATTCTAACGGAAATTGATTGATGAAATTATTCAATACACATCTTGTGTTCATAAGACACCTGAAAATATTGTATTAACTATTGATATACGAAAATATTTGATAGGTTGAGCTAATCCAGCAGAATGAATTCGTTTCCTTGAAATTTACAGCCAATTTTTCTATGAAACTGGCGAATAAAATATATAAAAAATTATGGATGAATCTTTCTTTTGCTCGATGCTTCCATCAAATTTTGAATGACTGGAAAAGGACGGAAGGCATTAAGCGATGAAATCAATTCGAATGTCAGAAGTCGATTACCATTTAAATTAGACTGTTACATTTCATTGTGGCTATGTGTGCCTGATTCGAAACTTGATATTATCAATTTCATATAGCATGATACAATGCAGTGTTAATACGGAAAGTGTTTCTTTCTCTTCTTCAGCTCCTTTTATTTTGACTAATATATCAAATGCAAGCTTTCTTTTTCTCTATTAAATGGCATACATGACAAAATATTGTTTCTTTTCTTTTTGATGACATTTGTTTGATTGTATGTACAATATGAAGACACCTATGACAAAACTTCCTCGCTATTGAGTTGTGAAAGTCGTGGTCTACATTGAATTATAAATCGTTCAATAGTTTTGTTAAAGTTCTACAAAATGATACTATTGCGTTGAGTTTAATTTATAGGCAAGAGATTTTGGTCAAACTTACAATATTGACGAGTGGCAAAAGGTGCTTTTTTTTGACTAAAATTTAGTCAGTTTTTGTCAGAATAACCACACTTTGTATAAAAACAAATGATATATTTAAAATCAGCATACAAACTCGAGTCGATGTATGTGTCACAAACTCCTTGGACAATTTTTATTTTCGTCCATAAATTCAATTCTGGTTTCCCTTAGAGTTATATTGAAAATTTACTGTGAACCTCGACTTTTACAACCCAATAGTAAGGAAGTTTTGTTATGTATGTTCTCGTATTCTGCATACAAACGAAACAAGGTCATCGAAAAGAAAAAGAAAAAGAAAAAGAAAAAGAATAAAATTTTCTCATACATACCATTCGATAAAGAAGACAAACAGGTTTCATTTGATATATTAGTCAAATAAAAGAAGTTGAAGAAAAGAAAGAAACTTTTCGTAAAAAACACTGTATTGCATCACGCTATAGAAAATCGATAATATCGAGTTTTGAGTTAGGCATACACAACCATAATGAAGTCTAACGATCTAATTTGGACAGTAATTGACTTCTGACATTAGAATTGACCATTTAAGAAATAATGATTTTAATTGCGAGAGAAGACCAATTTCATCGTTGAACAACGTCCGTTCTTTTGTGTTAACAAAGAATTCAATTATTCTTCAATATCACAAATTTCTGTTCGAACAAAATTGGTTGCATAATTTCTGACTTTCAAGCTTTCAATGAGCCTATCAAGAATTGGTAGAGATAGAAAAATTCACAGAAGATATTCCAATATGAATCAATGAGGTTTACTCATCTTGATACAGAAACAAAAGTTTAAGAGAAGCATTTCAGAATGAGTGAATGACCAGAAGTTCATACACAAATGCACTGTTAAGTTACTTCTTAGTAAAAAAAAAACGAGTGAGCGTCATATTCGTCTAACGGTAATCGCGTTTATATTGAGCCTAGGCAATTTCCATGGCAGAAAAATATTTATTTCATTTTAAGATACGCATTCAAAGTTGTTAGTATGTTTTATGGCAAATGATTGATTTCTTGTAAATTTTTTTTTTCTTTATTGTTGACCTTGAGGATTATTGTTGCTGTTACCAAAAGGATGACCGAAGTTTGGCCATATGATTGCACAACATTTGAGAATATTTTCTTGACAATATGTATCTGCTGGACAACCCTCACCGTTCGCTTTGCAATTGGTAAAAGATATTGGATGTCGTCCATTGCTGCATAAGGTGGTAGTCGGTGTGCCATTAATGGATGTCAATAGCAGGAGAAATAAGATAGCATATAGAGGCGACATATTGTTGACTTTGGAAATGAATAAAGAAGTAATCTGGGTTTTTTTTCTTTCGTTTTATATGTGACTGACATTTATTTATCTATCTTATCTCCATCTGACAGAAGCTTTTTTAATTAGTTTATTCACATCGTGATTTGTGTTATATTTTTTGATGAAGTTATAATCCAAGTAACGAAAATGCGTAGGACTTTATCTCGTTGATTCATCCTAAATCATTGTCGGTATATGTTAAGCAGAGATTTGTTACGAACTATCACTCCGAATCTATCTATGTACAATGTTCCATGATGTTTCTACACATTTTTATGTAGAATCACATCTGAGTCCAAATCGAATCGGCATTTTTGAGTTCAAGTTCAGCTCGGATCGACTTAGGCTTCTAAAAGTCGGTTAGATATTGATTCGTTTTCGAGCTCTGAGCCACATCTCTTCTCGATGTCAAAATGCAATAAATCGGAATGTCTTTGAATTAAATCACTTTAAAGAATAGATACAAACGAAGAATCATGATTTTACAGTTTCACCAGTCCGCAAATAAATCGACACACAATCGTTTTGTTTTTCGTCGAGAAAACTCGTACATTACACCACATGAATTAAGCAGAAATATAGAAAACACAAGAATCGATGAGATTATTGTATGGTCTAATTTTTCATCAGATCTCATCAGCAACTAGCATTTTTAGGTCAATTTTCTTACCGATCATCTTCCAATGTGAAATATTTTACGAAAAAAAAACTCTCTTTACTGCATTCGAAGAGAAACAAACGGTATATCGAATCTAGGACTGAATGTGGATGTGAGTGAAGAACAGACACGTACACAAACTCTCTGAATACCAATAGATTTTTTCTGAGCTTTTACTCTTACTCTTTCAAATTTTCTGATCGTTGTACAATTATTTTCGATTAACATTCACAAAAAAGCAACTTTTCGCTCCTGGAATTCTACAGTACTAGATTCAATAGCTCGGTTAACATCCAACAAGGGTAAGAGCCCTTCGGGAGTTGTTCTAGTCTAGTGGCTCCCTTGTAGTAGGCAAAATATGGACTCGAAAATGTTTAATTATATGCAACTGTTTCTTATAAATATTTTTGTGAATCAGCAAAAAATGACTGACTGTTGTATCGCATTGAAGGTCGATATGTTTCAACAATACTTGTCAATTACTCTCATAAGAATAAAATTTCGGATTTTTTTTCTATCATTAAAAAAATTAGCTGATGCGGTTAGAACACAATGAAGATATGGAAATTATATTTTGCTAGATGACCTTTGGGATAGGGGGTGAGTGTGGATAAGAAGATTCAACACCCATACTCTTGTGTTTATTGGTGAATATGCTTTCTAAAATTGTTTATTAGGGTGAAGTTCAATTGAAAGATTTATTTTTGATTATCTTTTCTGTAAATGTTCCTAGGTTTTTGTTTTTAGTGTTTTATAGAGCAGTGCGTTGTCTACCACTTTTCTCGCTATAAAATTAACATTTGTTTTTTTAAAATCCGCTTAGAATAAGAGATTGAAAGATGATGAAATATGTAATAATCTTATAGCAAAAAAAGGTGATTTGAGCTATATTTTGATATAATTTGCGTTGAGATTATTGTGAAAACTAATGAAAATACTCAAAGAAAAAACTGTTGATCCAAAGGTATCTATGAAAAACGTCTTTCGTCTTAATAAGTTCTACACCGATCAATAACCCAGACATCGCTCTTTTGAATGATGAAAACTGCAGCTCTCTATCTCGTTCCTATCAAAAGTTATTCGAAAAATGGTAATTTGCCATTCATTTTGGATTGGATAATGCATCTAAATTTTATTCACAAAATTGCAATCATTAGTAATAAGATGCATTATTGAAAAGCATTTATTACATAATAGAACAAATTTAGCAGATAGATTTTATATAGTCGAATGTTAAGCTAGAATCAGACTAGAGATGGATGTAGCAGCTAAAAAGTCACATCGCCACTGCCCCACCTCGTCTTATTAAAATAATTTGAAAAGCGATTTTTTTTAAATTTTTTTGAACATCCGCCTTAAATACCTGCCGTTGCAAATAGGCATGCCTTTGTTTATCAAAATTGTTTTAAACAAGATAAAAAATTTTATTACAAACGGTATTTTCTCGTTAATTTATTTTAAATCTAAATCTTTGGAACTTACATTTGAAATAAATTTAAATTCATTTTAAATCTAATTGTTTTTTAGAATTAATTTTAGAATTTAATAAATTGTTAGAAATATAAATTGATCACATCTATTTTCTTATAGTTATAAATTGACATAGCAGCAAAGTTATTCTGCGAATTTGAATGTAAATGGAAGAATATTAATATGAAATTCGAGTAGGAAGAACTAGAATTCATCATTCAACTTGATATTGAGACGATCATAAAAGCCCAAACGTATTTTTTTGTGTGGATGTGGGTGGGGGAGAAGAAACGATACACGTCCACACACCCACACCTCACTCATTTTCAATTCTAAACTACAATATTACATTGAGAAACTTTCTCATGATAGGTCTATAGAATAGATAATCAACAATTCATTTATAGTTCAATTGTTACTCAATTAATCGAAAATGAGATCGACTTCTATTCTAAATAGCATAAATGATTCAATATCAAGTTTCTAACAATGAATTGACTAACATGAAACACTTAACCAATCATTCGATTCCTCACATCACGAGCATCGAAAAAAAAACATTTTATAAAA